AACTAAAGACAGATTTTCATTTGCATGCAAATAATATGCACTTCCTGGATCTGAAGAATCTAAACGAGTGCTGGAACCTTTAGAATTACCTCGATTACCAGCCAGATCTGATGTATGATCGTGATCTGTGTTCTCATGAACTATTCCAGAGCTCTGATTCGCCATTTGTTGATTGTTGTGTGAATGAATTCAAGCAAGAAATTGAACGAAAGAAGAAGATTGAACCGAGAGAAAAAGAAATCGAAAGGCAAGAATCAGAGCTCTGTTCAGAGCTCTGATACTATCTTACGAACACAGAGTAAAAATACCAAATGCATTGATTAACCAAAAACTAAGAGTAAAACACAAAAACCGCTTAAGTTACATGTGGTGTTAACTACTTATAGTCAGTTGCAGAAAGAAAGAGAATGAGCCCTACGTGTCCCTATTCTAACTAACTAATACACATGACGTGTCCCTATTCTAACTGGCTGTTAGTTTACTTAAAAGAGAGAAGAATGTATCTCATCAAAGGTCAACAACATAGCAACATTCAATAAACATATCACTTGACTCAATCATGTTTACTTGCTAAATATTACTTAGTTGCTAAGTGATAATAAGTATTTAATAATTAGAATAATAAATAATGTAATTATTATTATTTTGCAAAATAAAATTAAGAGTCAATAATAATTAACACTATAAATAATTTCTATTTGTTTATCGTGAGTTTTTGAAAATCTTGCATTTTTAAAAAATGCCAAATGTATTGTTTTAACCATAATTTGATGATTAATTTATCATTTTCCCCTTTTCGTCAATTTCATGATTAGTTTTTCTTATTTTTGCCCCTTTTGGCCAGAATAGTTCAAACATTTGATATCATTTAAGTAGAGTGTATATCCAAATTTATTTTAAATGATTGAGTTATTAGTAAAACATTACGATTCTTGTATTTTGATTATAGTTTTTTTTTTTGCAATTAATTAATACACATTATTATTGTATTATTTTCAATAGATATGGAGTGTGAGAAAGCAGGAAAATTTTGTATTCAGAGTCAAAAATTTTGCTCACTTGGATTCCTCATAATTAATCAAACATTTGAATTTTTCGGAAAAATAAGAGTAAAAAAAATCAATAATCAAATTATCGTTACTAATAATAAATATGGCGTATTTAAATTTGCAGAAATTATAAAAGATTGCAAGAAAATAAAATCATTTACGGTGTTCCACTCAATGAGATTAATGCTAATATGCAAATTAATAATACTTGCATTATTTTTGAAAAACCAATTATTATTTATTCATGGGGATATGTAAGTCTTAGAAATAGGATAGCCCTGCCCTGATATTATAGTCCAGTAGGTAATGAGGCTTCCTGGTGGCCTCTTAAACTTGGGTCAATGGTCTTGTTTAGTAACTATTGGGGTTGCTTGTGCTTGGTCCACTTGAATTGAAAGAGATAGGGTCGGGTTGCTGCAGGTGGCATGTTTAGAATCGAGCACTTCAATTGGTTGAGGTTTACCTTAATTGAATCACAACAATTTTAATGAGAAAAATGATAGTTACACGTGTTACAAGTAATTGCTTTACACCACCAAATGGTGGTAGCTCAGTTGGCGCATGGGAACTAAATAGGTAGAGGTGAGAGTATGTGTTCGAATTTTCTCAATATCACCTTTGGGAGGGGTTTAAAGCTTTAACTGGTGGAGCCACTTGATGTTTATCTGGTGCCTTGGCACCAGCTGATTTTCAAAAATGTTATATATTTTCTTTAAAAATTATAATATAGCTTGACATTGGTTAGGTTTTTAAAAATAATACAACATTGGTACTAACTGAATTTTACTAATTGAATTTTCTGGCACTAGCTTGGTCTTGTCCTTGGCTCCACCACTGCTTAATTCTGGACCCGCTCCGAATCGAATTAGTTGTGAAGTAATGAACCGATTGGAATATTTCAAAAAAAAAAAAAGTAAATGCTTGCACCCTCCCAACCGCCGAATGGGTCGTATAATCCGCTACTATCATCCAGAGCATTAATTGTTTCCAAGTGTACACACAATTGATTCATGCAATCGGACTTTTGCGAGCTATTTCCATCTTTACTCTTGTGAATGCAATTACTAGCTTCTTAACTAGACATTCTTGTTCGGCATCCGAACAAAGGTACACGCGGTAATTGATCATGGTGATATTGCATTCCATGGCATAAGAATGGCGAATGAAGATTAACACTTAAAGATTTTCATCCACAGGGAGTCATTGGCATATTGAAAGTTTTCAATAATAATAACCACTTTAAGTTCTCAATTTTCTTTTGCTTTAAACTTTATTAAGAAAAGTTCGCGTTATAGACTTGTGGATATCGGTAATATACCTTTACATTTTGTTTGCTTGTTTAAATTGGGATAATCGTATGTCATGTAACATGACACCATTTTGTTCGCATTACAGAAACAAAAACACTGTGGGTTCCATTGTACAGAAAAAAAAATAAAAGAAGTTGAAGTGGGTCTCACAATCACTAGAAAAGTGGAGATTTTTCTAATTACATAACACTTGTATTTCCCGTTTAAATTATACTTGAAGTATTTGATGTATGTTTCGCCTCTATTCTAACACAGAAAGCACAAGCGACGATAAAAATAAATAAAAGTAAAATGAAAAATATAATAAGTGGGGAAGATTATGCTTATGCATAAAGAATACCCTCACTCGCATAATTCGTAACCCCACATATACAGGGGACCCGACATGTTAAGATATGTTCCTACAAGACAAGTTAAATTCCCTGCATCTCAGCCACATTCATGTCCTTTTCTGACCTGTATTAAAAGAACTTCATTCATTCATTCATTCGTTAGATACCTACATTATACATTCTTTGTATTTTTCCATGGTGCTAATGACACTGTTAAAAATGAATCCTTTAAATTATGTAACACAAAAGCTTTTCTAACTATGTATTTTGTACCATTCCTTTCCTCCCATGCGTGATTAGAATATAGTTTCATACGAATTCTATTTTACATTTACATTTTTTTTTTGCTAATGCATGCGCTTGATATCAACGTGGAATCTTGATCGTAATCAACTCAATTGAGAATTTTGGTCGCCATGATTTTCGCTGTCAATAATAATTAGCAGAAAGTCACTTATACGATCCTTTTCTCGTGCATGAAGTAAGCCTTTTTTCAACTACCAAGATCCACATCCACTAATAGAACCCCACATAGTCTGGCTACAGTACCTTAAGATTTAAGAACCTGCCCCCCAGCCCCACCAGGAACTGTGATCCAGAAAAAGTGGCAATGAATTTGGATATTGGCGCAGTTTAAGCATCATTATATACTTCCACTACAATGACATTCACCTTACATTTTATCTGTCCTACCAAGGATTTTTTTGCTTCACTCCCCTAGCTCTCTAGCTACCCGCAACCTTGAAAATCTTTCCTTTCGAAGGGTATAAATATTGGATTATTATTGGAACCTGCATAAAAAAGAGCTCTGGTCCTGAATGTACATATTTACAAGACAGAATTAAAAGGCTTTAACTGAAAGATGATAGCGATACTAAAATGCTATAAGCTATATTAAGGTACATGATTATCTTCTCACTATCAATAAAAGCATGCACTTTAAAAAGAATCGTGTCCGGACCCAAGAAGTGACAGTTCAAAAGTAAAGTGGAGATATCAAATTTCACTCTTTTGCATATCCGGGTGTTCATCAACCGATCCAAACCAATTCAAATCGCAGTAATCGAACCGAAAAATCGATAACCGAATAAACCGAAAATCGAAAAATCGAGAACCGAATAAAAATCGCAAATTTTAATTGGATTAGATCGATTTTCGGATGGGTTGATAAAAACCGATCCAATCCAAACCGATCCAATATATTAATTACTTTCTACCTACTTGTGTCTTTCCTCCCATCATAGCCCAAAATTTTTTAAACCCAAGACCTATTAACCCATCAACTAAATCCAAGAAAAAATCTAGTCACATCTCATCAACAAAAATTTATTTGTGTGAAGCTTCACATCTCATTGCCAAAAAAAAAAAAAACCTATATTATCATTTTCTTTTCTGTTTAATTTTTTTTTACAAAGCCTATTATACAAAAAATGTTATTTGCATAATAACTATAAAACAAATTTTAAGATTTTCAAAAAACCGAAAACCGATCCAATCCAAACCGAAAAAAATTGGATTGGATCGGATCGGATTCGAAAAAAAATTCAAACCGAATGGATGATGACATGATCAAACCGAAGAAATTGGATCAGATGATTTTTGCTTCGAAAACCGATCTAATCCAGACCGCGAACACTGCTACAAGCTCATTATTAGCTTTCTATAAATGCAGAGAAAACCACATTTTAATAACCACATGGCTAGAATAGATCTCACTTAAAACAACATTGGTACATTCTTACATGCTAGCGTTAATTAATGACATCTTGCTTTCTCTTTACAAATTATTAACAAGCAGAGTTCCAGAAAGACATGGGCAATAACAACATTAAAACTATTCACATCTGAAAATTACCAACAGTTATGAGGGCCAGGGAATAAACAAACTTAGCTCATAAACTGCGAATAAGCACTCAAGAAAAATAAAGAAAAGAATGACTATGTAACTAGATTACTACAAAGATATATTAGTTCAATCCCCTTGGTTGATATTTTCAATTCACCGAATTCTCTGCAATATGCGTGTGGGCCCTAAAAACAATTTCAGGAAATTCATCAACAGGGATAATGATTTCAAGTCTCACACCACTATTGTCCAGTTATGGCCATGAAAAATCACTTCAAGAACCTTTCACTAAAGATCTCTAACGATTTTACTACTTCATGCACCTGAGCTAATTCAATAATACTCTGACATAACGGAAAAATTAAATTCTTCTGAGAGATAAAATAATACATTAAAGTATCCATTGCTATGTGTAATAAATATAGATGACGCAAAGAAATGATTTTCATTTTCAGTTGCAACTGTTACAGGTAAGGAAATTTAAAAAACAAAAGGAATCTTCTCTAAAGACGGGAAAAATTGGAAAAAAAAAAAAAAAAAAAACTATGAGGAAAAAAAATTGTAGAAGGTAAAATGAAACTAAGAATGATACAGAAAATGTCACCTATCAGGAAGTTACCACCATTGATGAACAAGAACTCCACTTTTTCTGAGAGAAGTGAAGAGTTCCAAGCATTGGTTATATGTTTTCTCATACTTAGGACTCCTCTGTCCAGGGCAACATCTCTGCCATCTATTGTAATGACACTCAAGAAAAACCTCATCTACCAAACAGATAGCCCCAGTTTCAAACAATCTTGGAATCAAATCAAATTCAGTACCCTCCACATCCATTTTCATCACAACAAAGTCATTCTTCGAAACCGTGTTCTTCAACCAGTTGGCAAAATCAAATCCTTGTATCTTCTCAACATCAGCATCAAAATCACCCCTTGATTCCAAAGGCTGAATCCTCCCCATTCCTCTTCCTTTAGCCTGAACCTTCTCGCCAGGGTTGCGATTAATCTCAAAAGTCAAGGTCTCATTCCTCACCCATGCAGCATAAGGCAGCAAAGTTATCCCCTTTTTCAAACCATACTCCTGATGAAACGTTTTATCAGCTTCAATTGCATACACATGAAAGGTCTTGTTCTGTTTTGGGTACTGTTTCCTAAACCAACTTCCAATACTAGAGCCATAGCTTCTAGCTCCAACATCCACATACACATACCTATTCTTAAAGCTGATATCAACCATTGAAGGGAGGTACTTTATGTTCTTCACATTCCTCTTGAGAGTGATCCATGGCTTCAGTGGCTCCTCTTCAATTAGAGGCTCAGCATTCCTAACCAACTCTTGTTTAGGAACAGAGCATTTCCCATTGGAATCAAATTCCTCAACCACATGACCAATTCCATAACCTTCTTTCCTCACAACGATTTCTCTTATGTAAGGCATTGATGAATCAAACCCTTCTATATCATTCAATTTCACTACTTTGCAACAAAATTTGAACAAATCAACGAATGAATTGAAACTGTAAGTGTCTTTAGCCTTTACATGGAACACGGCAAACCCTTCGGGTTTGAGCGTTCGTGCAACCTCAGAGGCGAATTCCGACGGCCGCGCCGATTTCTCCAGTCCTCCGTCGCCGGAAAAGATGAAGTCAAAACTGTTGTTCCCGAACGGAATCCGATGAGCTTCGCCGGATTTCACCAACGGCTTCGACGCCTTCTTCGAGATTCCGACGGCGTCCAAAACGCCGATCTCTCGAAGCGCGAATACGTCACGTCCGGTCGGCGTCTCCAGGCAGAGCGATTTCGACTCCGGCGAGAGGTAACCTCCGGCGATCAGGTCCTGGAACACCGACGAGTAGAAACGCACGCCGTTGACCCAGTCCTTGCTGGCGTAAAGCTCTGGCCTTGCAACGCCGGCGAGGGCAGAGCTACTGGCGGCGAGAGCAACAGCTCCGGATCCAGCGATGGCGACGTCGAGAGTCTCCGGCGAAGAGAAGAAGCAGAAGTTGCCGGAATTGCATGACTCGCCAGCGACGGTGATGACGTAAGCGAACCGAACGATAACGAGGAAAACGCCAAAGAGAAGTAACCGTATCAGAACGTTCTTCAGAAAGCCCGGCTTGCCTGCGGCAGGCTCCATATAAACAGATTGTGCACTCTTTACAGAAAATAACAATAATTTGAAGAAAAAAATATTCAAATTTTTTTTTGAATGAAATTAAAAAAAGAAAAAAAGCTTTTTCTTATTTCTTTTTGTTATCTGGTGCAGAATCGAGCGGAGGTGTGGTTAGCGCCGATGAGAGAAGGTGTTCTGAAGGCAGGGATTGGGAAATTGAGAGAGTGGTGAGGGGTAAAATTGGAATTCATGATTTTTTTATGAGTTTGATAATAGAGATTTTTTTTGTTTTCTCTATGGAGCAGTGGTGAAGAACGAGTTCATCACTCGGAGGGTTGTGACTCGGTTACGGTGAGTGTTGGTGTTGGTGTTGGTTGTTTGTTGAGTGAGTCTGTTACAGAGAATAAAAATGAGAGGGACGCGGCATGGTGGTGAATGGTGACCGGAATAGCCGGTTAATTTTACGCGGAATGAAATGCATAGATTAAGGCAGTTAAGGCAGGTTGGCAGAGTCGTAAATTACAAGAATGCCATTTTGAATTTTCTTAATTTTGATTATTTTCATTTAATTATTGAGCATTTATGGTTTTGTTCCCATAATATTATTATGACAAGTTGCGTGATGTATTACGTTACGTTCCAGAAACCCCTGTCCCCATATGTGCCAGTTACGCGGCCTTAGTATATTGTTTGTTTGGTCAACCACATTTAATTATTTTAATTTTTTTTTATATGCTTTAAAAATAATGCTTATTAGTTTATTGTGATTTTTAAATAACATTTTTAAAGAGAAGGTTATCTAATTTTTGGAAACAATAGGCACAACCATAAACATTTTCTTTTGAGCACTGCTGATCGCCTTTTTTTCTTGGCTTTTGCCTTTGCTTGGTTTTGTACACATTAATTTAAATGAAAGACTAATCATGATTAAGGTTCTAATATTCTCTCTTAACAATACATTTTCAAAAGTCAAATCCTTAACCTTGTAAATGACTTTCTATGACTAAACCTAATGGTTGGATTCTTCTATTTTTATAAGAGTTTTTTTTAAGCTGAAACACAACGTACATAAAAAAAATTAAGTAGAAATTAAATCATATCTTTTACCAATTAGGGATTGTAATCATGTTCTCGTGTGGAAAAAATGGCCATATGGTCATATTATTTTATAACAACCACTCACTGATGATCATATAATGAAAAAAAAATTGATTTTTAAATAAGTGATTGTGATCAAATAACATGACCACATGATCAGTTTTGTACATGAAAGAATCTAAATCCAGCGTTATTAGAGAATTGATTAAAAGCATTTAATATTTTTCATTAAATAATTTTATTTACTTAACAAAGTAAACGCCAATTTTTGTATATCTAATACAATAAATATTTTATTTTTCATTTAATTCAATATTATTTTTTGTTTACTTAATCAATATCTTAAATACACTTGTAATCAAATCCCTAAAATTATTTGGTATTTATAAGTTCGCACAAATCTCCATGATCCTTGTTCTAAGAGCTTCATATAATTATCAATTTTCATATGAATCAATTTATATGGGGATGTGATAACGTGAATCTCAATCACATTACAAGCTTTAAATGTAAACCTATCCTCTGCACCATGCTAGTCAACAACACATGCAAATTTTACCAAAACAATCAAATTAAACCAACTTTCTAGAGGAAAACTTAATCATTTCATGTCACATGATTAGCTCCGATTAGATTTCTTCTCCAACAAGAGAATCTAAATTCATTCATTAAGCAAAGATAAGGTCAGAACCTAATATCTTATTAATATTATTTCGTGATGGAGATGACCAAATTAACAATTTAAAAATACAGATTCAGTAGTTTTCTAGACAGAATATTACTTAGCTGATAAGAAATTTAATTAAGATGAATTTTTTTCCAATTATCAGAAAAATTCAAGTCAAATCGTTGAGAATTGAGTAATGAGTAGGAACCAGTTAACACCTTTATACGTTATAAGTTGTGACCGACTCACGGGTTAATGACACGCGTATAAAGAGGGACGATTTTCGGGTGGGCGCAGAAAAGGAACAAAAAATGCTGCGATTCGGATAGCTAGCCGTTACAAAACTTTTTGTCGTTAGGGAAATACCCAGAACACCCTTGTTCCCGTGGTCCACACGACAGGTCGTTTGGTTCTGGCTCCAGGCTGTGATATTTGCATTGTGATCGTGTTTGTGTTGGATTGGTCTGCCAAACGGTGCGTAGTAGCGTGACGAGTAAGGACACACGCTTCCGTTGGAAGTTGGCGTCCCACAGCATTGGATCCTGTTAAAGGGTGGAAAAATGTGACAAGTAACGCTCTTTTCTACATTTTACTATCAAGAGTAATACGAAGCACACTTGGTTGATAAAATGCAAACATACTGCTCATTTCATTCTTATTTTACGAACTGAAATCATCCTCTTGTTGGAAAAGAAATTCTTTCCCAAAAAAAAAAACTATATATTATGAATAGTAAATAATTATTATATTAAAAACAAGTTCTTCTCAGATATTATGGGTTGCATGACAAAGAAAAAATAAATAATTTTACAATTATAACTATATATTACTCATAGTACATAATTATTATTATTTTTAAAAATAATTCTTTTATATAACATAAGAAAAATGAAACCCATTTTACGAATTAGTTTTATAAGATTTAAAATTCATTCCGTGTTGTCTAAAACAAAAAAAATTTCGTTCGGCGGACAGTATACCATAAAGATATATATATAATAATGTGATGGATAAAAGTAGGAAATGAAATCGGTTGGATAAGTTTAAATCTTATATTCAGTGGCGGTTATATAGTTACGATCAAAATGTGACTAATTTTTAAAAAATTAGAAACATGATTTACTACGTTTCAAGCGTAGCTAAATAAATGTGGCTAAATTAGTCAGTGCCAAAGCATCTACTGACACCAACGTGGCTCCGCTGCTTATATTGTATTTAATGTGTATTAAATAAATAAGATGTTAGGATAATGTAGAGGTCCCACGTCAGAGATATATGCTTCTAAAAGAAAATGGATAGAACTAATCATTGAAGTTCTCTTTTCCCATAAATCCATCTTTGCCACAATCAGTTAGTTCTAACAAATCAATGGAACCAAATGAGATAAATAGCTAGCATCCACGTACATTATGGGAGTTGCGATTATATTTTGATAAGTATTATATTTAAGCTAATTAGTTATCAAATATTTATGCAATATTGATTTTACAACAAATATGTAAAATTTTACTAAATATAATAAAAAGAATCAAATGTGTGATCCATATAATCACCATAAAAAAAATGGAATAGTGCTCATATATTATTGTTTTCAAGATGATTATACTTACTATCAAATAAGTTTACCATTTTTTATTACCTCTTTTGTAACCATTAGACAGTAGAGTAAAACATGATGAAAATAGGAAGATGAGAGAGGAAGTGAAGGAAGTTCTTGAAGAAAGAGAAAAGAAATTTATATCAAATGATAATGATTGATTTGATTATTTTCAACAATTTTTAAAATAGTTAATAAGAAATGATAAACTTAATTGATGGTAAATATAATCTGTCACATTGTTCTCTTATTTTAACTACCTTCACATATCATTGCAAAAGGTCTTGTCCTTGCACCAATCACATAAAATGGTAAGTTCCATTCATCCATACGTAAGTTAGGTATAACATATTCCGCTTATATCGTCGTCAATTAATAAATTAAGAGGAGTCTATTGAAAAAGATTTTGCAAAATAATTATTGAAAAAGACAGTGGGTGAAAAATTATCTATAGATTTGAATTTGTGTATGGTATCAAATATATTAATTAATTAATCCTATAATCACAACACAATAATAAACAAGAACAAACTCATAGTTTGTACAAATTAGATGCCAGTATAAAGAGAAACATGAAGAATTTGAGCCCAAAAGTGTTGTCTCCTTAATACGATTTGTTCCCTTACTATTGATGTCGAAGGTTGTTGAACAATTGCCTCCCAAGATAGAACAAATTTGCGTCTCTGAAATGATGGCACTATCAATCAGGAGCCCAAACGAACATAACTAAAATCACATTTTTCCTAAGCTTAAGGCATCATGGATACAATGCACAAGGATAACTTAGAAAAAATTCGGCAGAATAAGGACAACAAAAATACGGATGCTTTTTCTGAATATATATACACACTGATCGGACACGATGAATCGGTAAACCGCCACCGATGAACCGTCGTGACTGACGGTTGCGAACTGGTATGACCGTTGTCCGGTTCGGTTCAATATTAACTGAACGCACCGGATCAGTTTAAAACAAAACCAAAAGGAAAGAACCGGTTCCGTTCAAAATAAGCGGAAGAAACGTTTCAGATGGGGAAATTTTCGACAAATAATTTTTTTATTTCACTCACTCACTCACACAGCCGGCAACGGCGGCGTGCGCATGTGTGGTGGACCAATGCCCACCTAAGTCCTCTCTCCTCCACAAAATGTGGAGTGCCCCAAGGGACAATCTAGGAATCTGAGGTGGGAGCTTATAAACCTTTCTACCTCTTACTAGTTATCCAATATGAGACTTCTTAGTTTATAACCCACACACCCTTTCATCTTCCCTCTTTCTTTTATTCCTCAACCCTTATTTATAACCCATAGAATTTAGATACAAATTCCAACAATAATAACTCCATAAATAACTATTTAATTGAGGTTTTTAATTTAAATATAGATAGATGGGTTATGACAATTTTATAGTAGTGTAAGTTGCATTTTCAATCTTGATCGTTGATTCTATTTATATTTAACTACTCTAATTTATTATATATTAGAGTTATTAGATCTAAGTTGATTAAGGGCATGTTTGGTGTATAGTATAGGATAAGCCCTGATAGTATAAGACCTGATAGTATAAGGCCTGATTGTATAAGACCTGATTGAATTTTAATACTATACAACGTTTGGCACGATATTGTATAAAATAATATATTGTAGAAGATAATATCATCTAATATTTGGTAATGCACTGTATAATACTATATATGATAAAAATAAATATTTTTAATAAAAATATCCTTTAATAAAGAATTTATATAATTCTTCAAAAAATGTCATATGATATTAATTTTTATAAAAATTTATTGATTAATTTTTATAAAAATAAAAATATTCAATATTTTAAAAAATAATATATTGAAAAATTAATTTTTATTTTAATAGATTAATATTAAAACAATATATTAATTTTTGAGAATTACATTGGTCATCGATGTTAATACATCAATATCTTATCAGA